TAAAATTTACCGAGCAGGGGCTGCTTTGGCAGGAATTCTAAACAAGATTGATAGAAACAGCGCACTCTTCAGTGTCTAAAACAATATATAATAAAATTTTATCGGAGTAATATCAGAAGCAAAATGAGAGCTCAGTACACGAAAACAGCGAAAATTTGATTTTTATATTTGTTTTTCGGTGTCTCATTTCCTTTGGACTTCTGAGTCCGAGTTATCCACAAAACCTACGTCACCGTACTAGCAGTTAGGAATTTTTCTGGATATATAGATAGATAAATCAAGTGCGGTCCTCTATCCAGGTCGAATAGGAACTATTACATAATTACAGCTAAGACACTCACTCCACGCATTAAGATTGAATCCACATTGTCAACATTTCATTTGCGTCATTTGACATTACCGTAGCAATCGTTTGTTGCCATGTAGGCTATAGCCATTTTTAACGGAATTCTTTGATTTGTTTCAAGGTTTCTTTGCGATGAAATTCCATAATCAGCACCCTTTTACATTTATCTTCTATTAACGTTGTTTTGTTTTCTTTTTCTTCTTAATTAACCTTATTATTATTATTATTTTTTTTTTTTCATCAAAATTCCAACCAAATACATGCAACACGCGCAAAGTGCGGGGAAACATTGAGTTATTAACAATTGGTTTTCATTGAACATTATTATATGGCTTGTGTTTGTAGCCGATATAACGCGCGCTCTGATTGGCTTGGTCTAGAGCATTATTCTCCCGTAGTGCCGGCAGCCTGATTACGGCCCTGCAAAACCAAAGCAAAATGCCATATGATAAACTTATTAGCCTCGTACGTTTTTCATGGGATAATCTCAAACCTCGGCCTTGCCGCATTGACTTCGCTATAGTTCAGTCAATACGGCATGGTCTCGGTTTGAGGTACGTTTTTCCGTAAAGACCTCATTCTCAGTTAATACTTAATTAGGAAAGTGGCGCGTCGCATAGCGTAGTAATGCAAAACCAAAGCAAATGCATTACACTTTTTTCATTCAAGTTAAAACATAAGCTTTAACTTTTTTATCGTTTCTTACCAAAATATGTCGGTAGATGTAATCCTCTTTGGTCACGAAGTCGCTGCTCGAGACTTGCAAATGTGTACTATTGTTCAAGTCGCATGATGGCGTATCACTTTGGGTTGGACCAAAGTTGTAGGACACACAATCGGCCGCTTGATAGCAGCGTAACTCGCACTTTGATCTGCTTTGAACTTTCATACTTCTTAACAGTTGATTTTCGAGAAACCTGTCCTTTATTTGAGGTTGGAATTGTACAGTTCTGCAGTCTTCTGAAAGAACTTATTTTGAAAAACAAATAGTGCATTGCTTTAGATCTGAACAACCTTAACTATTGGGAAACATTAAGGTGGCCCTGATTTTCTCCCTTAGTTCATTTTATTTTATTTTTACCATTGGCAAAGCAGTACATGTCTACGTGCTAATCAAATTTCGGCAATAAAAAAATGGGGGTCACCGGCGAACTTCCGTTTCAGTTGTGAGCCCATAAAATTAAGGGTGTTTGAAACGAGTCATAATGTTGCTATGGCAACATTTTTTTCGTTACCCAAAAGGCCATAATTTGTTTACAATAATTGAACTTCATTGATAACGTTATTGTAGCATCAACTAGAAACGGGAGGCTAGCGATGCTCCATGGAAACCGGTATGGGACACCTTAAACTTTTGATGTTATTAAACTTGTGTCAATATTCGAAAAGCTCGAGGTGTAATTCGTTAAAAAGAGCTGAACCCCCTAAAACTACTGTCGACGGTACCATTGCTAGAGATAAAAAGTAAACATTCATTCTCAAAACATAGGAAATTTTGCTTTCTAACGTTGCAGAATTTTTTAATACAAGCGAATAGATTTTGCAACCTTTGACTCTAATTTATGAATAATTAATGTGAAAAGACGAACGCTCTCAATGTTTCCAAATATTTCGAAAACTATAATAATACATCGATATTTTCCAGGTTCGTTCTTCAAATAGCAAGGTACCAGGGCAGTTTTATTCTTTTAGCCTGATCACTTTTTTTCCACTTTCTCAATTTAAGGCTTCCGAAGTTTGTAACTTAACTTTTCGAAAACAGAATTGAGAGAAAGTTAAAAGAAAATAACTATAATAAATAAAGGAAGTTTAACGTACCTACGTTCACTGTAGTACTAAACAGATACCAAAAGAGTGGTTTTCTTGTTGTCATCGTCCCAGAACAACCTTTAACATCAAAGATGTTTGTGGACCAAATTACCAGAGAAGATCGGGCAATTTATGGCATTCTTGTAAAGGGGAGATCAATATGTTTTGCCACCCACAGCTGCTAACAAGGGAAAAACATTAAGAGCCTCACACGACCAATCCAAAAAATATGTTTACTGATTATAAAAACACGCCTAAAGTTTGAGGCCTATATAAAGCACACCTTTTTGTGTCAAGAAAAGGCATTGCGAGTGCAAAAACATACTTCACTTGGGAATTTCTGCGAAACATGGGCTGTATCAGAGATTTGATTGTTTCTCTTTAAGAATGGACTTTCAAAACTACATATTGCGAATTCCCGCCGTTAGGTTGATTTTTTAATGACTATAAGGAGGGTAAAAATATAACCACACATTTGACAGCTCCAAGGAAGCGAACTGAAAAAAAAAAAACATGTGGCGTCACTGGCAAAAGCATCTTTATTTTCGCTTGAGGTCATAGTAAGGAGTTTTTTTTTTCGGCGTCCTCTAAGCGGCCCAAAATTATGATTATCAATGCCGATTTTCAATGCAGAAATTATTTACATCCAAGTCTATTCCGCTAATGAGTATTCACTT